AGCATACTGTCGGTCGGGAATCACATCCCATACGTATGCCCCAGTAGTGGCCCTAATGAAATGGACATCCATCCGTGCATGCAGCGGCGATAGGTCTACACCTTATTCAGTCACAAACAGCACCCCAAACTCTCTCTTCTGCTCTCTTTTTTTTTTCTTGAAAAATTAAAAAAAAAAATTACAAAAGGCGAATGCTTTGTTTGACATTTTGTCTCTGTCTCCGACGTGTCAATTTGTTAGACGACCTTTCATAATAATAATAACAAAATACAAATTTAAGTAATAATATATGGTACAAAAGTAAATGAATTAAAAAATACGTAGCCTTTGCTTCAAGATTATTCCCCTCTATCCACACTCGCACACTATCGGACATTTGGGACTATTTAAAATCATAAAACCCACATTGAAATCAGGCAGCGTTATTTAACTAATCCGAATGATTAAAGTTGTAATTGGACACATGATTAAGACACCGATCTCTTGTCGGGCGGGGAAAAGAAAAAGTTTGTCTTAAAACAAATCAATCGTAATTAATTAAAATTAGAGTAATGTCAAAGAATTGAAGAAGTAAAGGGGACAAGGACAACAATGCGTGGTGAATAATGTTCATGATGTTTGTTTTTATTTTTTTATTTTTTTCTGATTGTTTTTATTTTCCTGCAAAATCTAAATCTAGTTACGTTTCACCAACCGATTCATTTGGCGGTGTCCCCCCCACTTGGCTCGGCAACAAAATATCGGCTGCTGATTTCGTTCGTGTATCTTTTTGCAGTTTTTGTTTAGACAACACATTGAAAACTTAGGATGTTTTTTTAATGTTTATGCTGCATTTGGTTCTGAGCGTCGGTGGCTACTGGGGGTTGAGAGGAAGCCGCCACGAAAGTTAAAGTATGTCATAGATCCACGCAGTAATGGGCTTCCCCTCATGGCATTGCATTGTAACCATGAAATTATGAACCTTTTCGATTGTTTTTGGATTGCATGAATATATGAAGGGACAATGAATTTGGTAGACTTGTGGTCCACAACCTCAAATGATAAATTCCGAATTGTTTTCTCTTACAATAAAACCGAGTGATATGTTACGTTGTCTAATTATCAATAAAGATTGTTGATTAGATTCGAATGTGTGATTTTAATTTATAATATAGTATTAACCGATTATGACGCGTGATGTTACGGCTCTATATGAATTATAATGTATATGCAATCATCTAGATATAAACACTAAACCTATAACATGTATATAATTTATGTAGACTATGTTAACATATCGTGTCATGTTACCTTTACATTCAATAATTTCTCCACATTAATCTATATAACACACTAGTTTTTTTATTTCTTAAGATAATACCACTCTTGTTACACCAGAAAAAGAAATGATATAAAACGAAAAGAAAAAGAATAAAAAGTCTGATTATCAATAAAGATTGTTGATTAGATTCGAATGTGTGATTTTAATTTATAATATAGTATTAACCGATTATGACGCATGATGTTACGGCTCTATATGAATTATAATATATATGCAGTCATCTAGATATAAACACTAAACCTTATATAATTTATGTAGACTATGTTAACATATCGTGTCATGTTACCTTTACATTCAATCATTTCTCCACATTAATCTATATAACACACTAGTTTTTTTATTTGTTAAGATAATACAACTCTTGTTACACCAGAAAAAGAAATGATATAAAACGAAAAGAAAAAGAATAAAAAGTTGGGACCTAGTGGCGGGAACTCGTGCACAATTATAATAGAAAGGAAAAAGAATAGTGCCGGTAGTTTGAAGGAAAGAGGAGGAGATAGACTATGCGAAGCATCTTCGAGAGGAGCCAACCATTGGGATATGCTTTTAGTGCTCGACAAAATATTGAGACTATTAATTTGGTCAAAAGGAGACTCGGCCTAATCAATTGGTGGGATCATCATCACTTAAATTAGCTATGGCTTTATCATCACTTAATTTCTTATATGGTTAGAGGTCTTTTCTCTATCTACCCAGTTGACAACTTCCACATCACATAGGTCAAAGCCATATGTTAGCCAATATATGACGTACACGAAGGCGTGTTAAGGGCATTTGTTCACTCGCGTTTCGACAATTTCAACCTTGTTCACATAGAGCTATTCATAGGCCGAAAGTGACCTTGGCCCCCCTTCCATCTTCTCATCTCCTTTACTATAGAGAGAGTATATGCATAGGTTACAGTAAAAAAAATCCCATAATTTTAAACTTACGCTCCCCAAATATTAAACTCTAATTCCGCCACTGCGCATAGGTAACCGTTGATGACAAATTCGGCATATGTATGTGTATGTGCACCTAAAACTCTCGAGGTATCAATAAGATGCAGCCACATATTTTGAATCAGTTGAGATAGATTGGGACTAATCACGGAATTGAAGATGTATAAATGAGAGGAGGGTGCAACTAATTGTTGCCTTTTTGACAAGTCTATAGGAAAGTTCCGTACAGAAATCAGCTGCAGGTTGGGTACGGGACCCGGACAACTGTAATGGACAGGATCAACACGTACACCATGCTAGCTACCATCTCACTGCTGAATGCATGTATCAAAATCTAAAGAGATACGCCCATTTATTGAGACACCTGGTTATGGATGGCTCGAATCACTGTTGAATGCATGTATCAAAATCTAAAGAGATACGCCCATTTATTGAGACACCTGGTTATGGATGGCTCGAATATATATATAGGAGTATGTTTCATGGAATAATTTTCACTCCTCAAATTGTCATATTGTGAATTGGAACTATTATAGTTGATTAGGCAAATATATCTAGAATTATAACACATTAGATACATCACACATGACAAGAAGACATTGTTCACAAATAATAACTAGTGAGATCGATTTGGTAAAAGTATATGTGAGTTATATAACATATCAGATATCTAACAAGAGGGGGACGTTACTCATAATCAATACATGCACGCATCTTAAAATGTAAGCGGTAGAAATGCAGGAAATGATTGATCCAGCAAAGGGTGAGATATCCGGCTTTAAATGTCGGTACAACCGTACAAGAAGAAGCCGGTTGAGAAGGAAAATCAAAGAATCATAGCAACACTCACATGTTATCAGGTCCTACAAAGGATTTGATGGATTTTCATGGCTTATAAGCATCTCAGGATCATCCCACAGCCAGTTCACTATAGTCTCTCTCTAGAGATGTTGAATTGTTTTGTAGGGCATGCACCAGTGTACGTAGTACTTGATGGAAAATGAAAATAAATGCATGGGGAGGGTAGGTCACTATATTTAGGGTTAGGGCTCCACCCGATATGACAGTCTATCCATATATGATTAATTGGGTGCAAATTTAAGTCCTAGGAGAAGATCACAGGATCCATCCATCCATGTCCATCCTCACCCAAAAACAAAAAAAGAAACAAGTATCTTTTTGCATTCAGCACAGTTAGAAAAGGAAAATGCTTTGAGGGAGTGGTTAATTTCATGTAATGTTTAAAAGTGGTGTTGGGTTTAGGAGAATTTGAAACTTTGAAAACGACTCTAAGGAAAAAGAGTGAAAATTTGAAAGAAACATGGCGCTTTAGAAAGACTGGCTTAGGTAAAGGGAGACAAGACAATGAGAAAGAAAGGGGATGAAGTTTCAATTTAAAGCATTATTCATTTATTATTGTGAGTAGCCTAAGGTTTTTTAGGGAGATTCATTATTATATGGGCCAAAAGGTTTTTTTTTAATTTTATAAATTATAAAACTGACATCAATTTCTTAAAACAAGCCCAACCCCAAAACTCATTAAAAAAACCCAAAACACTCAATAGGACATCAAAGTAATTTAATAATCAAAATTAAATTTAATAGGGCCAGTTGTCATTTTTTGAATTTTTTTTTTTATAAAAATAAAATGATGTATGATTTATATATTTGTAGTGCTAAGAACAGATATATAATTAAATATCTCTTCTTTTTTTTTTATCCGTAAAGTACTTCCCATTCCTTCCATAATATTTGAACCCAAGAAGATATTCTATATGTTTTCAACATGCCAGAGAGGTAAGGTACCACGGACACACTTTGGTACAATATGATAAGATTATATTTATGGGGGTTCAATCATTTAGCTCCTCTCCTTCTTATTCTTATTCAAATTGTTAAGCAGTAGTAGGTGACATTCATTAAAGTATGCGGCTATGGAGTTATAAATCAAACATTTTACTGACATATTAAAATTGTGAACATAAGCTGCTTTACGTTATCTGTATTATAAACCTTAAACCAAATCCTAAAATATTTTATGCAATTGACGAGAATGGGAGAAAAAGAGAATTAATTAGACTAGGTTAAAGGTTCAATTCCCTTTTATTGTAACAAAACGTTAAGTAGAATGATGACGGTGAATCTTTTAAGTCTTCTTTCAAAGTTCACCGATTATATACGTTAAATTTGAATGTAAGAGTGCGCTTTCGTATGTTTATTTTTCTTTAATATGCAAAATGGGGTCCCTTACGTCACTTTACACACTAACCCGTAATTTAATGGAAAGTTCAGAAGCCTTAAAAGTAATGTAGAGAATAATCTTTTACCTTCCAAAGGGTCGATCCGTTCGACTCCTGGACTGTCCTTTTAGTCAACTACCTCTTCAAAAAACGCCAAAACAACAAAAGCCCAAGAATATTTTCTACCATGCACCAAATCCATACAAACTCTTTTTTTATTTTAAAGAATTATGGCGGTATCATAGCTCAGCTCCCTCCAACAAGCCACAACAGCAACAGCATCTTTTATTTTCCTGAATAATAAAAATAATAATTTTTTTTTGTAAAAAAAACTTGGTCGTATGGTAGTGGCAACCTAAGAATGTTCCAAGATGGTCACAAAAACATTCGATTAATAAATTAAAACCCAAAAAATGTGGCGAAAATAAAATAAAAGAAAAACTTAATATCACTCTCTCACCCCATCCCCTTCAAATTCTCACACCTATAAAAGCCCTCTTAGTGGCTAGCTACTCCCTACCCATCTTCATCCACTACTACTAGCTACCTAAGCTACAACCCTTTACCTAAATCTTCAGTACGTACGGTGGTCTTTTTTGCATTAAAGCTCCAAAAATGGCGGCTCTGTCCACATCCTCCCCCATGCTCAACATTGACACAAACTCTCCCGACGTTGACAAGCTCTCCTACGAAATCTTCTCCATTCTCGAAAACAACTTCCTCTTCGGCTACAACAACAACGGCAGCACCGGCGCCAACGAAAACCCAACAGCCCAAAACCTCCTCTCCGACCCCAAACCCACCAATCTCTCCACTCCCCTCCATCACATGCATTCTAGCAAACACTTCACGGGCAAGGTCCGCGTCCTCGCCATTGACGCCGCCGGTGCCACCGACGGCCTCCTCGCCGCCAACTCCCTCGCCCATCTAGAGTCATCTCTCCGCTGCAAGTCCGGCAATCCCAACGCCGCCATCTCCGACTTCTTCGATGTCGTTTCCGGCTCGGGCTCCGGCGGCGTTCTCGCCGCTCTCCTCTTCACTCGGGGGTCTAAGGACGGGTCGACTCGACCCATGTTCACCGCTCAGGAGGCCCTCAACTTCCTCCTCGACAACCGCCGCAGGATCTTCCGGTCGTCGCGCAAGACGTTCGGCGACCATCTGAGCCTCAAGGACACGCTGAAGTCGGTGCTCATTCCGTGCTACGACATGTCGTCCCGCGCGCCTTTCTTGTTTTCGCGGGCGGACGCGGTGGAGATGGACGGCTACGATTTCAAGATGAAGGACGTGTGCGCCGCCACGTCGGCGCAGCCGGCAGTGGAGGTGAGGTCGGTGGACGGGAGGACGAAGATCATGGCCCTCGACGGGGGGATCGCGATGAACAATCCTACGGCTGCGGCAATTACGCACGTGCTGAATAATAAGCAGGAGTTTCCGTTCTGCAATGGGGTTGAGGATCTGTTGGTTGTGTCTCTCGGAAATGGAGAGTCGGAGCTCGGAAATTTGTCGCCTTCTGGCTGCCTCAAAATCGCCGGTGAAGGAGCTTCCGACTTGGTAAGAATTCTGATTATTTTTTATTTTTGGATGCTTAATAATTATGAGATTAAATGAATTTTACTCGACTAATTGAGAAATTCACTAGTAAAAAAAAATTAATATGGTTTATGATTTGCTAATTTAATATGGTTTTCTAAGGAAAAAAAAAATTGATTTGGTTAATGATTCTTGTACTATATGTATGGTGGTTGGGGTGGCATGATAAAAGTGCCACCTAATTATTAATATAGAAAAAAAAAAAAAGAGGCCCTTTCGTTCCTTTTGTGCAATATTTTTAATTTGGTGCTCAATGAATTCGATTTTCTTTTTATGAGTAGGTCAGCTAACTAATCATTTTCTTTCCCTTCTTCTGTAATTAAAGGTTGATCAAGCTGTTTCCATGGCGTTTGGACAATCTCGAGCAAGCAATTATGTCCGCGTGCAAGCCAACGGCATCATATCGAAAATGCACGGAGGTCTGCAAGCCTCAAGCAAGAACAAGAGCAAGAAGATAGACATGTTGGCCTTGACAGAGGAAATGTTGGCGCAGAAAAATGTGGAGGCCGTACTATTCAAAGGCAAGAAAATGGTGGAGAGCACAAATGTGGAGAAGCTTGAGATGTTTGCTGGGGAGCTGATTAAGGAAGAAGAGAGGAGAAAAACTTGCTTCTTGCCAACTGTGGTTTTGAAGCAGACTTGTTCAACATCGCCTAGCAGAACATCATCCGCCACAACCCTATCAACCATGTCATCTTCATGTTAAATTAATTAGTCTTAATTACTACGTTAAGCATTCGCAGCCGGTCGGGATGATTGAGATTAAGCATCCGAGTCTGAGCTGAGCTGCTGAGTTTGAGAATTTGGGGTTTAAGTTTTATTTTGCTAGCTGATGATCATGAAGTGTATATTTATGGTAGAAGGGGGTTTGCAATGTGTATACGAGTTAAGTATGAAGGCAAGGCAAGTAGTGGCAAAGTGTAATCAAATTCAAGATTGGAGTTTTTCTATATTATAATATAATATTACAACTAATTTGGAATTGTACTTAGCTTCCTCTTTTGCTTTTTTTTTTTTTTTGGTTACAACCTCTTTTGCTTTTGAATGAGGGCTGGGGCTGCATGTCAGACATTTGAATATGTAATAGCAGTTGTTGGATGCATATTCTACTCATTCATGGAAATCCCATCACATCTCACTTTAGATTTTAAATGTGTTTAGGGAATCAAGTTAGTTCAATTGAGGCCATGATGGGCAGTTTGCATAATAACTTGATTTAAAGATAACCATAAATTTTGGAAAAAAGAAAAAGAAAAGAAGTAAACAAATATATTTCCATAGTTTGTGCTACAAAACCACTATAGTGAAATGTATACTAGTGGTTCCGGTCTTCGTTTAGGGCTGGTGTTGTTGTCGTGTCACAGCTTGTGCCGGTTTTGGATGTTATTTTGCTCATTGGGGGAGGAGGGATTCGAACACTTGGCGTTAGATTCATGTATAACTGTTCTTAACCACTTAAATTAAAAATTCATTATGAATTAATGTTTTAGATGTTCCTATATGTTTTATTACTAATAGTACTAGTATATGCCGACATGGTGTTACAATTACATCGAACAATTTCTTCATATACCGGATCTTTTCTTTTTTGTGTGTGTAGGTTTGGATTGGGGGATTGGGCTGTGTGTTCTGTTTTGCTGGTCGAATCTCAATTAAACCTAGTGTGTTGGGCCTATTGTATTCCTTTAGCTTTGGGTTTCGTTTAGTGCTTTTGATTTAAAAAATGGGGAGCTTCTATAAGGGTGCATTTTTGCTCCCCACTTTAATCATAGGTGTACCATCACCACCCTTGTCAACACTTGACACGTGTCCCTTGGCATAACCATGGTTGCATAAATACAAAATAAAGAGTTAACTATGGTTATGCCAAGGGACACGTGTCAAGTGTTGACAAGGGTGGTGAGGATACACCTATAGTTAAAGTGGTGAGCAAAAATATACTCATTCTATAATGAGGAGGTTGAGTGAGGAGGTTATTTGAGGTGGCCCATCTCACTATCAAAAGGGGTGTGGACCCCCCAATGCACTCCCCATGTACTTTGTTTTTGGTTGTTGATGGTGAGATTTCACTTACTCAAGTAATCTCCTCACTCAACCTCCTCATTCTAGCATTTTCCTAAAAAATGACTTGAATTGAACAAAAGAATAGAGTTCCTGGGTTCAACCGGTCCAAATTTCAATTCTGAAAAAAGAAAGAACCTGAATTAGGTCGGTTCGGAGAATCAAGGAATTTACGCCGACATTACTCTCCAGTTGATATAAATTCCACAAACTTTAAAGGAAACATAGAGTTACAGAAAAGGCGGCAAGAAGAGAAGGCCTCTGTGGGTACGCAATGTCACCTGCTGATGGTGATGTCTCAGAAAGCCTCTCTGATATTGACGATGCAGAGGTACTCAGATAATTATATATATATTGCTCTTGCTTTTTTTGAGTTTGAATCGTGGTTGCCCATTTTTCTCAAGTTGATGAATAGAAGGTAGATGCTCAAATTCCTCAATGATGATTTCAATTTAATCTGCATATCAATGCTCTTGGAATTTCCTTTCGTGGTTATTGTGAAAAGTTTTGTTCTTGGTTCATGACAATCAACCACATTTTCTATGTTTTAAAATAAAGGGTAAAAATTAATGAAAGACAAAAGCAGTGATCCTGAAAAGGAAAGTTACCCCCTGCCCATGATCCATCCGCTTTCTTCAAGATCACTCCCATCATAGCCACTTGGTATATAGTGCTTGGTCTAGACTTATCTGTAAAGTGCTGTCTTTGATTTGGATTTTTTATTTTTGGAATTATGACATGGAAGGCATGATGCTTATGGTTTGTAGGTTGTTGGGTACCTTAACAGCAAGCAGGCGGCACTGTTTAAAAGAATGATCTGGGAAGCAATGAACAAGGACTATGATAAGGTAATGCCTTTGGAAATTCATAAATTTTATCATATGTGTGTTCACAAGGATTCGGTGCAATGCTAGGGGCTTTCTTAGTTTCTGTTTGTTCCATGGTTTCTTTTTATTTGTTGTCTATATTTTTGGCTTTTGAGTTTTTAGATTGAAAATTATTGAGGTTATGTAGTTAATCATGATTATCAGCCCCTGCATTATTTGCCTCTTCATTCTCCTTAGCTCTGTGATTGTGCGGGAATTCTTCACTTTTAAATCTGACCTCTTTTCTTGTATTTGAGTTTATGTTTGCCGCATGTCATATGTGCGTTGTGATCTGAAGCTTAGGCTTGGAAGTCTCATCCAGCTTAGAGTTCTTGCCTAGTTTTGAGCTGTTATTGGAGTCACACACTGCATAACTGTGTTGAAAGTTTTTACTTCAATCTTACTTGCCTTTGACTTATTTTTTGTTCTTTTGACCATCTGTGTATGTTTTACTGCCAGCATTGAGTCTTATGTATTGATCTCTATATGCAACTATAAAATTGGCAGGGAAAAAGTAGAAAACGAGCCAGAATGGCCAAGAAAGCTGCTCCTGCTAAAAAGTCAGAAAAGGCTGTCAAAGTTTCTACTGTGATGGATACTAAGAATGTAAGTTAATAAACTGGTTTATGGAATTTTTGGTGCTTAAATTTTCCTGCAATGTTGATTGTCCTACTTATAATTTATTTAACAGATGCTAATGTGACATTTTGTTCTTGCAGAGGCTGAGTTCAAAAATCAACTATGATGCTTTGGATAAATTAAATGAAGAGCTTGTAAGCATCTTTTATATGTCTTATTTTAGAATCAATTTCGCTTTATTCATGCTTTGCAAATCCCATATTATGTTCTGTCAACATCCAAGGTCTCGTTAACTGATGCAGAGACTACAAGTGACTAAAAGCCAACCAAATCTAATGGCACATTTAATTTCGATTGTCAAATGATGTTACTTGTTCAATATATTTTTTGTTTTCTTAATGTCTGGTTAGTGTGCAGACACCAAATTACTGTTTAATGGAATAAAGGTATATACAAGAGTCATAAACCATGCCAAGATAGAACTTAATATGTAAAAGAATGATCAATTGTGCAGGTTGTTTACTTATTGGGCAATTAATGGGAGACTTTAAAAAATAGGAAAATCTTTCATCTTTTTATATGGTTAATAGTTTTTTTTGCCATGCAATGTAGTTCCTACCTAGTTAGAAATCCTGGTAGGTTTTAGAGAATAAAGGTGTCTTTCAGCGAGTAATTGCTAGAACCTTTTCTATTTTTTTTCCCCATGTGTAAAATCAGGGTTATGCACCTGCATTCGAAGAAGGCACAAAGTCTAATTGTGGCAGTCAAGGTGATATGCAACTGTCAAATGAGAAGAACAGTTTGAAGGCTGTCATGATGATGATTTTGAGCATGAAAGTAATGGATTCAGTGAAGAAGCTGAAGCCAGACAAGGCCATGATGATGATACGTATGTTGCAAATGACCAATATAATGGATGCAACTATGATGACGAATACAATTACGATGAGGAATGTGATTTTGACGAATTATGACTCAAATAAAAAATGATTCAATTGTATCATGTTGCGATCAAAAGGTTAAGCAAATAAATCTTCTGGTTTTTGATAACTTTTTTGATTGGTATCAGTCTGAGGAGAGATGCAATTGAGCGTTGCTTGCATGTCAAACTATGTGAACTATAACCATGAGCACAAATTTGTAAATTGAAACATTGAATGGTTGGTTCCAAGCTGTTCACACTTTATTTAGTGTAGATAGAAGCACCAGTTTGACAACAATATTTCCCCAACATTGACAACACCAAAAGACTTCTCAATATTATATACAAGTCTGATGAAAATTTGATAATTAATTTGTATCTCAAACTGTGAATTTATTTAATTCAATTAAATTTATTCACTGTTGAAAAATCTTTACACAAGAACACATACTGAATTGTCTAGGTTCCAACTTCCAAGTTGTTCAGATTTTGGTAGTGAGAGCAAGGTACTTGGTATGACGGCCCTGAGCTATAATTTTACATGTCTTCTTCTTCCTTAACTCAACACTGGCAACACCAACTGCCTTCCAAACTCGTAAAGCCTTGGCCTCAATCTCAACTTCCTCACTAGGCTAAGCATAGGCTCCACCATGCATGAAATTGCCTCCTTTCAGCAAACGAGGGGGGTACTTTGAAGGAGCAAACAATACGACCGGGTTCAAGGAGATCAACTTTAATGCCTTTCATGATAAAGGACTCAAAGAACTTGTCTGGCAGTCCATCCATTGTTATTCACTAGTAAAAAAAACCCCTTGCGCGACTAAATTTTGCGCGACGAAACACAATTCGTCGCTCAAAGTGACTTTGCGCGACGAAAATTAAACTTCGTCGCTCAAAGTCTTACGCGACTAAATTTTGCGCAACGAAACAAAAATCGTCACACAAAGTCACTTTGCGCGACGAAGTGTGGTTCGTCTCGTAAAGTCTTTACAAAAATAAACAAAATAAAAAATTATTTTTAAAAATCTTTGGATGACTTTGCGCGACGAAACAATAAAATTCGGTGCACAAAGTCTTGCGCGACGAAGTGTAGTTCGTCTCGTAAAGTCTTTACAAAAATAAAGAAAATAAAAAATTATT